TCACACGTAGAAAAAGTACTGTGATTAACTTTTGCCTGGAAGGACTTTCACAGGCCGTTTTTTTATGATTGCCTGTGGAAATCCCAACGGCTACCCAATCGCCTGCGGTCACTCCAAAGGCTACTCTCCCGGCGCTTATTTTTTATGGCTAATCACTCAACTATGAGTGACATTTAGCCGCCAGAAGTAGGCGCATGCAGCGGCAATGCCCTTTGAACCTCGTATCCCATCGACGAATGTCTGGGCCAGAGGCATGTGGCAATTATGAAGGATTTTGCTAACCTGAGGATTTGCCAACGAGCAACCAAGGAACACGCAACCATCAACCACTGCCATCGACTTCAGGTTAAAGAGAAGATATTCTGATGACCTGAGGATTTGTCAACGAGCAATCAAGGTATACGCATCAATTATCAATTTTTCTTAGCCTTTATTTACTTTTTTTGTTTCGTCTCCTTGCACATAACGGTTTCGAGATCAAAAAAAAAAATCAAAGTAAATTCAACGTAAAGCATCACCGCTGAGTCTTTGGGAAATTGTGGAAGAAGAGTATTGCACTAGACTTGCTTTCAACCACCTCAAATTGACATATCAGCACGACTTTAGATTGGATTTGAAAAAAAAAGGAGCCTCATGAATCGCGATGATCAGCAAATTTGCTGACCCGTGAATTTGTTTGGTTGGTCTGCCAAGAGAATTGAGGCAAACTTACCAAAATGAGTCTTTATTTCCAAAAAAAATTGGTACTTTCAGAGGGTACCAGAGTTTTGATGAGTTCTCGAAATTGAGACTGTATGAAACTCTTATTTATTGAAAAATGTTTTACTGGATGTTGCTTGATATACTCACAACCTTGAAAAAAAGTTGCGCTGTTTATTTTCAAAAATAAAAAAAGTTTTCTCGAAGAAACACTAATTTGCAACTGCGAAGTAGCTTGAAAAAAAAAACCTGCCACGATTCTCAAAAGATCAGCTTTGCTACCTTGTATGAATCATGCGAGTTCTTGAAACCAAACCCGTGAATTCAGTCTAGTTTGTCCGCTGACAGAAATGAGAGGCAAACTTACCAAAAAAAAAGTTTTTTTGAATAAAATGGTATTTTCAGGGAATACCAGGGGTTTCAATGAGTTCTCGAAATTGGGACTATACGGAACCTTTATTTATTGAAACTTTTTCGATGAATGGTTGATTGATCTACTCACAACAATCAAAAAGAGTTCTCATAATAACCTTCGAAAAAAACAGCAACATTTTCTTTAAAAAAAAAGCCTTGCATTTGCCAGCGCAAAGCGACTTCAAAAATTGCCAAAGCTCATCATCAAAACGTCTTTTTTTGCATTCTCACCATTTCTTTTACTTTAGTTCTTTTGAAGATCACCTTACTTATCTGTCAAAAAAGAAACTTGGCTACGCCAATTTTCGTTCATGTCGACTTCTTACTATTTTGTCCTATTTCTCGAGAAATGAGGACAGCAATCCACTCAAAACTGCATCTTGTACAACCTTTACATCATCGTATCACACATCATTTCATCCTCAAAAAAAAAACTTAATGCTAAGCAATTCTCATTTCCAGTACTGTTGATTTGCCGAAAATAGGGTTATGCATAATCTACTTATGCCCTTACTTATATACACAATTTTTTTTGCTGCTTCTCTGCCAGACCTTTCAAGCCCGAGTTTTCCAAAATAATAAAGATTTTCTACCTAAGAGAGGCTGCTATTCATTAGATTAGTCTGGATGTCTCAGCTCGTTTCGGACCCACACTCTTCATCAAAATCAATTTTTGATTTTTTATAGCGAAAAGTTGAGGAAATCAGCAAGGCTAATTTTTGCCTCTCAATCATATCAACCTTCGAAAGAGCACCATCAAAAAAAAAATTTTAACAGTACCGTTTAGTAACATTAACCTTCAGAAAAGCAAAAAAAAAAATTTTTTTTTGGTACGCTGATTAAGAAGCACTATAAAAAAAATTGCGTCTCTCTGCTATCTAAAAATCAAAAATGCATTTTATATCAGTCCATTAGTTTCCACTTCGTGTAGTGAGTTAAGGCAACTTATGAGAAAATTCGTTCACTGTTTTTGTATTCTCAGTTTGCCTGAGTTTTGTAGAATCCAACGGAACAGATCAATCATCAAAATATCTCTAGCGCTCCATTTCTTGAAATACAGGTTCAACGCTTTAATGTTCCTAGATTCATGTTGAAAAAGAACCCCACTCCTACCAACGTAAAAGTGGAAGCTGAGATAGCTGATGAAATAAATTCTGATTTCCCACAATTTAGTCATCTCAGCACGATTTTAGATGGAGCTCGGTAATTCTAATGATGGATTGGAATAAACTGTGGATTTCAACGTTGCATCTCTTGATTACAGCACAATCAATTTTTTTGGAATTTTTGGTTCAACAGTTCAAATAAGTACGTCATAGACAAAACAATAGTGTAACGTTAACATTTAGAAAAAAAATGAGCTCTTAACATCATTTTAGGTAGGTTCTACATCCCAAAATCAAAAGAAAAGAAGTAATCACTTGATAAAAGTAAAAGCACGGCAATCTACAATCTTAGACTCGCAAAAGAAAATAGTGAAAAAAAAACCTGGTGATATTCACCTTAGAAAAAAATCGATTCAGTTTGCATAGGCTTATTCTGATTGAAAACGACTACTCTTCGTACATTCGGCCACCTATACTATTTTTCGCTTTTCAGAGAAATAAAGAGCAGCGGAATGATTACATACTCATTCACTTTGCAATTTCGTCAGCATTTAGCACAGGTGGATCTCAACCATCGCTAATTATCTACCATACATGAAATTCTAGCATAACATCAGAGAATTATTTGGATTCAACTGAATTCAGCCGTAGTTTAGAAAAAAAATTCCTTAACTGTCCATTTTAGAAAAAATGACAGCATAAGCGTCACTTACACTTTTCCGCTGATCAGCTTCTCACAATGATGACTAGTTACCTTTGAGTCAACTCCGGTACTTTCCTAACTGCAAAACGACCGTGCGATACAAAGGCCTGTATGAATCTCACCTCGCGCGACTAATACGCTCGCGACAGTTTCAGATATGCGAAAACGAGGCTGAGAAACAAAATCCGAGTAACTGAAGGACAAATAGTGCAGTGGAATTAGAATTATTTTGTTCCTATTGATATCCTCGAATAACCGCTCCATGAAAATCTTGTTTCTTCTTCATGTCAACATTGTTCCCAGCCAAGTGTTCACCATTGTATTATAAGCGATTTTCTATCCGAGTTTTAGTCTACACTCACTTGTTCAGAGCATATGAGGAGGACAGAAGCTATGCATATGCCCAATTACAACTGTGTTACCTTTGTATTGATTGTTTTTGCTATCAGATGTTCAGAGCGTCTGAAAAGACTGGATATTTTGAGTGCCAGTAGCAAACTCACATTAATTCCACATACGCAGCGGCTACTGGCAGAGTAAGTTTGCCGCAAGCGTCTGCACTATAACAAAAAAGACTTCTCTGATAGGCGACTCGGAGAAGCCTTTCAGCCATTCAAAATTTTACCCCACGCCCTTGTGGGCAGCGTTAGGAAAGTGTTTCCTCATGAGTTGCTCACATGATAGATTCCGGAAATTTCATGTTTTTGTTGCCCTTGATTTTTTTGAATGTTGTAACGACGAATCTTCAAAACGTCAAAATTTTGAACGTTCCATCGCAGTAGCGACTTTGATTTGCATTATTGTTGTCTGCATTTTTCATGTATATTATTTCTTCAATATTTACAACAACCCCATCACCACATATCAAAATTTTGAACAATCCCAATTCAACTTTCAAACTACGCCGCTTCTACCATGTTGTTTATCCTCATTCCAAGCATTACAATACTCGTTCCCTCCGCTCGGACAGAGCTCACCCATCCACGACGTACTGGTATCATCATGACCGCATTCTTCCGTCCCTAATCGCGGAAGCCTTACCCGCACACCAGCTTGATAACCATCACATTTCCAAGCTCATTTTGCTGCGCTTTCTCAGCTCGAGACGAGCTATTTCTTTTGACAGGGCGTGCGAAAGCCGCTCCTTCCTATGAGCCTTTTCCCCATGTCCACTTATGAAGAGCAATCCAGCAACTAACCACGAAGCGATCAGCAACCCAACCCTGCCCTCAAGCAAGCAGCAGCAACAGATGGCAAATGGGCAACCTTGGTGACGATAATGGTATCAACGCACCTTCCCGCACTCAATCGCAGCAGCCACGAGACAAATGGTATATGGGCAGTATTGAAGACGATGATGGCAAGCCACACATACTCTCCTGGCCTCTACGAGGAAGCAAATGGTACAAATGGGCAAATGACAAAGCGAATGGGCAGGTTGATGACGATAACGAGTTCCTAACCTCAAGCCATGGTCAAAGATGAAAGCTCGGGACGAGCTTTACTGTGGAATGGACATGTCGAGACGCAGACTAATTGGATGGTCCGACAGTCTCCACGCCAACTGGGCGGTGCCCAGCAACTCCAGATGAGCTGTGCCTAACCGGGTGACCGGCGGCTTCCCTTCCCCTCTTTTACCTTACATATATATAATAAAGATTCTAGTCATAAATGTTATGTTCATACAAAGTAAGACAATCAGGGTGAAGGATTCAAGTCAGGAGAGTGCACCTCCTGAACTTGACAGATGCGATTATAAATGCCAGCGTGTCCAGCAGCCACAGCATGCGCTCCTCCACTTGCTTGCCGTGTTTGCGCAAGGTACGCAACTTCACAAATATGAAGCTTCTTCGTCGAACGAGATTCCGAGTGCTGTAATTTCAAATTTTTCTTTACTTTTGTTGTCCTTTTTTCCAAAAGATCATGTTTGTGTATAAGTGGCTCATTTTTACTGTTTCACAGTCTTTCAATCTTCCTCATGGCATTTTCTTCTCGATGTGATCCTTGTCTCATTAACTTGGATTTTTATCCGCGTTTAACTGCGCGTCGGTATTTCTGTCGCAGATATTTATATATCTCTTTCAGAAATGATATCTAAGTAGACATAAATGCTGTGAAAATGTCAACCGCAGTGCTTTCATTCGTACGGGGGATCGACTTCTCTCGGAATGATTTCTCCGTGAGTTTTGCCCACATTTGTTGCTTATTATTATTAACTAAATCTTTTTTCTGTCAACATTTTCATATATCGTGCATATAGGTGCAGATGATTTTATTTACTCTTTTCGTATAATACCGCTCAATATATCAGGAGGAAGTCGAGACGGTTTTTTCAAAGAAGTTTTAGTTTTTTTACTGAACAATTTTAGCTTTGACAGTCTGGTAACTTTTTGCTTTACCTTTCCATAAGTTTGCCTGTATAATGACTCATGCAGTAACTACTACATTATCAGGAGTATCACTCAAAAGCATAACACGAACTAATCTTAAGTATTTTTTAAATTTGAGTTGTTCAGGGTGATCGCTTCCCGCATGCTGTGGAGCAGATGACGCAGATGACATGGTTGAAGTTGAACAGAGCCAAATTAGAAAGGGTAAGCGATGACATGCTTTTTTCTTGTAAAAGCGCTGTATTTTTCATTTATACTAGTGGTTTCATATCAGTCCGTTGCTCATATGATGCATCCCTAGAATTGTTCCCATATGAACCATCAACGTGGCTGTCTTTCGATCATCTCAACATGTCAATTCCAAATAATGCTGAATGCTGGATAATTTTGATGGCCTTAAATCTGGTGGAATCAACGTGTTAAAACGATCGAAAGGCAGCCACATTGATGGTTCATATGGGGACAATTCTGGGATGCACGATATCTAATTTAAGCCCATAGCATAGATTTATGAATTCGATGAATAGCATTTTAGGTGCCGGATGAGCTGTCAAGGTGCACGAATCTTGAGCATCTTCAGATGTCAAGAAATTTCTTGTCCAGTGTTCATGGCGAGTTGTCTGACCTTCCTCGACTGCGATCAGTCATAGTACGACATAACCAGGTGAGAAATGCGCTCCTCCCGCCCCCCCCCCCCCCCAAAAAAAATAGGAAAAACGCGTCGCATTTGCAAAATTTGCCTTTTTAGGTGAAAACAGCTGGAATCCCCACAGACATCTTTCGAATGAAAGATCTGACCATCATAGATTTCTCTCATAATCAGCTTCGAGAAGTTCCTCCAAATCTCGAGTATGCTAAAGGAGCAATTGTTCTGAATTTAAGTTATAATAATATAGAAACCATACCAAATCAGGTTAGTTCATAAATTTTTTTGTACAAGTACATGTCAAGAGCTTTGACTGTAGGTTTTCTCAAATCTCATTGATTTGCTGTTCTTGGATTTATCAAATAATAAATTGGATATGCTACCCCCTCAAATACGAAGGTTAACCATGGTTCAAGATCTGAAACTTTCCAATAACCCTCTTCATCACTTTCAATTGAAACAACTACCCAGGTTAGGGTTTTTGTTATATGAGGTTTCATGGGGAAATGAAATCAACGTTCAATTTTAGTATGACTGCTTTACGAGTGTTGCACATGCGTAACACTAATAGAACCTTAGACAACATTCCACCATCTTTGGACGATTTGGAAAATCTGGCGGTAAGTTTCAGGCAATTATATTGCTAAGTGCTGATGTTTTATCATTGTTAGGATATCGACTTTGCTGAGAACAACCTCCCAGCTGTGCCGGAAGCTCTCTTCAAACTGAAGAATCTGCGAAAATTAGATATTAGCGGAAATAAGGTTTGTATCTTATCTTTGCATTGTAGTCATGGCTATAATTTACGTTCTGTGGAATCTTTAAGTTTATAGATTGAGACTTTCACAATCCCGGAAGGTAGCTGGGAATCGTTAGAGACATTGAATGTTAGCGGAAATGAAATGAAAGCCCTTCCCGATGGCCTCGTTCGCTTAGTGAAACTACAAAGACTTTATGCTAGCGACAACAAGCTGACGTTTGAAGGTGTGCCTATGCGATTATGATTTGGAAAAGAAGATTTATCTGTAGGAATTCCGAAAGGCATTGGAAAACTAGTGCAATTGCTTGTACTTCATCTGACGAGGAACAATCTGGAACTGGTTCCGGAAGGCATTACTCGTTGTGTTCGACTACAAAGACTTCGACTGAATCACAATCGGCTCATCACATTACCTGATGGAATTCACCTACTACCTGATCTCAAGGAACTTGATCTCACTGAGTGAGTCTGCTTTCATCTATAATTTATTGCAAGTGGTTTGGAAATTACAAAACAACAAAAGTTATTCCAAAACTAGTCGCGTTCACAGCGATCGAAATTATGCACGCAATAACTCCTCTTGAAAAAAATAGCATTGCTGCTCTCTTATCTTTGCATAACACGAAAGGAGTGTTGCTGAGTCATTCATCGTAAACATATCGTGATTTGTTGTTGTTTGCATTTGATATCCACGCGCCATATGCGTCTCATGTGCATTCTTGTCCAAAGCTTCGATTATGCACAAAGATGTGCTGCAGTAATCACAACCTTGCTGTTTTTATTCGTAAATACTAGCTGTTTTTTCCGAGCTTCGAAGCTCGGTAGCCATATCAATTTCTTACTATAATTCAATCAAGTTGGAGGTGTTGACTTGTGCTGCGCTCCCATCATTTTCCAGTCTTTGTGGCAAAAGTCAACTTATTGATTTCTAATCGTTTTTGGGCTCATTGCAAAAGATGGCACTATCGCCATGGAGCCTTTTCATATCTCGGCTTCTTGGTTTTTGATATTTACTTATTGTCTATGTTTGTCTGCTTCGTCACGCCATAATGGTTCCGCCGTTCGAAGAAGTGCTGGTGTTTTATCAACAGCGATAAGCTTCCTTTTGGGGGGTGTATGATGTACTCCATGTTTGGCTAGATGCATCAAATTTCACGATAGTTCTTCTTGAGACTTTCAGCCTGTGGAACTTGCATTAGGTTTTCCTAAGTGCTATTAGCAATATGGGTGTTATAATGCAAGCACGCTCAATATGGGACAGACTGTTCTGCGTTTTGAGGAATATATTGTTTTATGAAACCACGTGCAATGCTTTCTACCACATATCCATATCTCCCTCCTTCTTTTCGCCCGAGATTGAAAGCGACTCTTCCAGTTTGACCTATGCTTTTATATATTTAAAAAGTGTATGCTTTGCGGTAAATAGGCGACGTCTTGAATGTCACTAAATTTCTCCTTTCAGTAGTACAAAATGTTTGACATTGTGAACTCGTAGTTTGTTTGCAGTAACAACGATCTTGTTATGCCACCGAAGCCCAATGAAGCACGCAAGAAACTAGCATTTTACAACATAGACTTCTCTCTTGAACACCAGGTAATCCTTTTTTGCTACATGTAGCACGTCTTTGGTTTCAGTGTCGTTCTTTCTTGAAAACTGGTTTTGTGGCGATCCAATTTTGGGTCGACGCACACGAACTCGCTATCATCTCAGTATCCTTGGTTACACATTCGTAGATGCAAATTGTTAGATGCGAGAAAACAGTAACGATATGCAGCGTCGACTTGCTGGTCAAAGCCCTTGCTCATCTATATCTTCCCTGCAAAGCACAACAAAGGAAAAGGATCCGGTGGCCAGGAGAAAAGATTTCATTCGTAGGCGAAGGCAACAAACCGACCAAGAAGACGCCAGCAAAGTCATACAGGTATGACGCATTTATTTTGACTTTTTTTTCTGTTTTATCACTTTCATGTTTCGTGACCTTGTCAAGATTGATTGTGCAGTTGGATCCATAAGTGATTCCGATAGTTTTTATACTCGCATCAATACTTTTTACACTATCTTGTGGTTTCTTTCCGCTAGACTTTTTTATCTTGTTTTGTTCAATTTTGACTTCTGTTATCACTACGGGTTTTGTATTACACTTAGTCTTTGAATTCAGGGTATGTCGAAAATTGCGGGTGCGAGTGCAGCTCTGAAGGAGCGTGAAGAAGAGGAGCAGCAAAAACTTGCTGCGCGATCCGCAGTCAACTGGAAGGTGAGTGAAATTTTGCAATATGTGAACTTCTCAGTTCGATTATCATATAGTATTTTCTTCTGTAACCATTGGTTTCTTGCAAACCTCACTGTTTTTCACTAGTACTTTCACTGCGAAGAACTGGTTTCCGCAATTTGGTTTTTTGTTGGTTCTCTGGCTGCGTATTAAACCAGCTGGATTTCAGGCAAATCTTGACAAACAACGGAAACAGCTTGATTATAGTGATATATTCGATGAAGATGTCGGTCAAGATGAGGTATGTCGAAAATAACGCAATCTCCACTAGATTTTCAGGGTGTTCGTTCTTCAGCGGTTTCAGCTTTCAGGGTCTTTGGGTCTGGGAGATCGAAAATTTTTATCCTTCTCTTATTGATGACGCTTTTCATGGGCAGTTTTATGACGCTGATGCTTACCTAGTTTTGAAAACCACCAAGGTGTGTTTTTGTGTCGGGTCCTACTATGCTGCTCACGCTTTCATTCAAGGAACCCTCAGGGAGTTTGCGACATGAAATTTATTACTGGCTGGGTGAAAGAGCGACCTTGGACAAAGGAATGTGTGCTGCTGTGCACGCTGTTGGATTGCGTAATCATCTCAATGCAACCTGTCGGTGAGCATTTAATTAGCACATATTTGGAATTGGACACGCAGTATCCATATTTTTCTCATCGTTTCTGAACAGAGCATAAACTGATTCTCTTTCACGAACGTTTTATGACAATGTGCTCAACTTTCTCGTTTCAGCACGATACGGGAGGAGATGAACGATGAGTCAGAAGAGTTCTTGGACTTGTTTGGAGGTGAAGAAATTGTATACATAGAAGGAGCTCGCACAAGCACTGGCTTTTTCACTGTTGAGAAGCCGCCACATGTCACGAGGTTTGTCTTCGCTGCCTTCGTGCTTCAGAAATTTGCAAAAAAAAGTTTTTGTTCACGTCCATTCGGTTTGCTTTCCTTCTTCTCACTTATTACTTCTGCGCTTTATGTATAGATTGTTTCTCATAGGTTGTATCGAGCCTCAGTTAATGGTACTGCTGTTGAGATGGAGCCTGTCCCGGTGGCAGTGGAATCCCTTGATCCTCGATTTTGTTTCCTTCTTGACGCTGGCGAAACTCTTTGGATCTGGAGCGGATGGAAAGCTAGGGTAGCTAAATTTGACTGGCCTTCAATTATTTTTTGCATCATTTCTTGAAATATGTTTTCAGATTACGGTGGCAAATAAAGCACGACTATTCGCTGAGCGATTGAACAAAAGGGATAGAAAAGGCGCTGCTGCCATCGAAACATGTCGGGAGCCGAAAGTTCCGGAAGAGTTTTGGACAGCATTTTGGGGCCAACCAACGCGACCAGATGAGCCTATAGTAGAGCATGTGCCTGAAAACTTTGTTCCAGAAAGGAAAAGACTTTACCAGGTACTATCATCTGATCTTTGTACTTACGAAATGGGCAAGATGGTTAGTTTTTCTGCTGCTATGTTCAGGTCAACATTGGAATGGGATTCCTGGAGCTGCCTCAAGTTGACCTCCCCAAGGGTGTTGCTAGACAAGTCAGTTTTCGTTTTCTTTAGCTCTGTTCCCGTTCCATCTTGTTGTGATAATGTCGTTAGAATCATAACTCGCAAGGTTTATGTGATTGTCATAATGGCTGTACTGTTGACCAGTCGTTTTATTCTTTTTCTAGCGAGAATTCTTTGGTCACTGGAATCAGGATTCTCTTTTTTCCATCTCAATTCATGACTTTTAGGAACTTCTCAACACAAAATGCGTGTACATACTGGATTGCACGTCGGATATATTTCTTTGGATGGGAAAGAAGGCTAATAGGTACTGGATTTGAATGAAGCTCCCTATACTTTTTCTCGCACAATTTTGTTGTGAATAGGCTGCTGAAGATGGCTGGACAAAAGATGGTGACCGAATTGCATCAAATGATCGAGCGACCGGACTACACGCAGGTGTCAAGAGAGACTGAAGTACGTTGTGGTACTTATATGCAATCCGCCTTGCTTTCTCCCATATCCGCTGTTTATTGTCTTCAGGACGAGGAGTCAATGATGTTCCGATCGAAGTTTGCTGGATGGGACGATATCGTACCTGTAGATTTTACTCGCACTTCTGAATCCGTCAGCCGCGTTCCTGATCTCAAGGTTAGCTTTGATTTGATGTGATGAGTCATATGACTAATTGCATTGACTTCATTCGTTCTCTATGATGTTCCAGTCGTGAATTCATATAAGCTTTTATCAGGTCCTTGTCAAACGTGATAATATGATGAAGACGGATCTCACAGCTTTGTTCCTGGATCGGCAACCAGCAATGTCACCGGAAGAAAGTGAAGAATTGCTTAGTGACTGTAACGAAGATCTCGAATTTATCGAGTCGTTCGTTTTGGTGAGTATTCCATGTCAGAGATGACTTAGATAATCTTGTTTTTTTAGGAAGGGAAAAAGTTTGTCCGTTTGCCTGATGGAGAGTTTGGTACTTTCTACACCATGGACTGTTATGTATTTCTTTGTCGTTATGCTGTGATACCTGAAGAATCTGAGGATGAGGAAGACGAGAACGGAGATCAAGAGGTGATTGAGGCCTTTTTTTTTAATATTTCTCATCGATCTCTTTATCTCCTTGCTCGCCGCTGTTATCAGGCTTATCGAATTTGCAAAACATTTCAGAGTTATGCAGTAGTTCTTTATATTATGCATCACGGTCCTTTTACAGAGTCAACAGGATTTCAAATGTGTCTTGTATTTCTGGCAAGGGCGAGATGCTTCGAATATGGGTTGGCTGCACTTTACCTTCCAACTGCAACCTACTTTTGAGAAAATCTTCAAAGATAAGCTTGAAGTGAGTGACGTCACCAATTTTTAACACCTTAGAAGTAATGCTTCACTTGTGTTGTCCTGGTTGTAGGTCAAATTGTGACACTATCATCCTGAAATTTAGGTGGTGCGCATGCATCAGCAACAAGAAAACCACAAATTCTTGTCTCACTTCAAGCGAAAATTTGTTATTCGTCGTGGTCGTCGTGGTCTCACGCGAAATTTGGGTGGAAAATGGCCTGAGCTCTTCCAAATGAGAGCAAACGGGTCTAGCGTTTGTACAAGAACAATACAAATCGATTGCCGGTAAATTTCTCGGAAATTATCGAATATACCCTACAACCTGGCCGAATTCAACGTTATAGAGCGACCGAACTGTGTTCCGGTTTCTGCCATATTCTGCGAGCGCCATACAGTGTGATGCACGAAGATGGAGAGAAGGGAATAGTGTACGTCTGGATTGGAGAGCAAAGCGATCCGCACGAACATGAATTTGCTCGCAGGGTACGTTTGCATTCTTACTTCATAACCAAAATTCCATTCGTCTCTTTGATCTGTTGCTCTAGGTTGCCGAAGAAATGATTAATCGACATGATGAGTCTTTTCCGGTACAGGTGATCAAAGAAGGTGAAGAGCCCGATGAGTTCTGGGAGTATATCGGTGGGAAAAAGAAGTAAGTTGTGGGCATTTTGCGCCTTAGAAGGTCTTTGTAAGGATCTTTTATTCTTTGGGTAGAATATTCTACCATCAGCTCTTGCATTAGCTTTACAAACGTCTGATGAAGTCAAAAAGGGATCATTCTCTTGTTGACATTCTCTGCTTGTTTAGTCCATAGTCAGAGACTCTGTATTTTTAGTTACGAAAAGGATCCTTCATTCTTCCGATATACTCGCCTTTTCCGATGCACAAACGAAAAGGGCTACTTTGCTGTCTCTGAGAAAACAGTGGACTTCTGCCAGGTTTGCTCTGAGTGGTCGAGTTGGACGTAAAAGCTGATTTAATCGAGTTTTTTTTTTTCTCAGGACGACTTAGATGACGATGATATCATGATTCTTGACAATGGTGATATTGTATTTCTCTGGTTGGGTACCAGAGCCAGTGAAGTAGAAGTGAAACTGGCATACAAAGCCGCAACGGTGAGTGATGACTTGCCGGAACTATATGCTATCGTTCAGATCTTTTTGAGGTTCTTCTAATGATTTGCGGACATTTATGGTTTCATTCCTTTTGTAAACCTGTAGTATTTTACTTTTCGCTTAGGTATATGTTGCTCACATGAAAATGCGACAGACCGATCGACCTCGCACTTTAAAGTTAGCCATCAAAGGCAAAGAATCCAGACGTTTTAAGAAGTGTTTTCATGCTTGGGGTAGGCATAAGGTAAGCATCATTGTCCTACAAATTAAACATTATGGAAAGCAAACTTCTTAAGGTGCCTGCTGGTGATTAAGATTGGTGTCGGTTCCCCGTAGCCTTGTTAACTAGTCATTTCAACTTATAGCCGCAGTTTACACAGGTTGCTCACATGACAAGGTTCTTTGTTTAACAAGAGTCATCTAATTGTTCCTGTACAGTACAACTCTTTATGCCTTATAGGCATGTTTCCGCTTTTTAGGTTCACTTTGTAAGTTATATTTTTTGCATTCTGTCTTAATGCCTTTGAACTCGTCGTAATACGGAGATTGTTGTGCCCTGTTCGTTCAGCTATGTATGTATCTTACTGACGAATGCCGTTTTTTTTGTAGTGTACAGGTGCTACTGTTGATTTCTCGATTCTAGCGATTTTCGGCATATGCTAGAAATTGGTTTTTTGCGAACGTGTTCCTTTTCTGCTTTCATCAAGAAGAGTTTATAAATCGTATCATTGTTTTGCATGCATTATATCTCCAAGAGGTTCTTACTAACTAGTCTTTAACAAAATAAATGGAGTTTTGAGATTTTGCATTTTAGTTCTCAGACTATCATACGTCAGGAAACACTGTAACTAAGGGTTCACAATCCATTTCGCGCTACCCTTTCTGAATCTCCTCATCCCAGCATTGAAGGCAGTGGCTCGGAATTAGACAAATTGAGATTTTTGGTGTGGTGGGTTGCTTACTTTTCAAACATGGAAACAGACCAAGTTCGGTCACTCGGCACCGTCCTGCCGAGAAAATTGCCCTCAAACCCATGCGCGCAAGCCATCCTTACACGTATTCGTACGAGTTTGCGACATCCCCCCACCATTAAAAAAGGCATGTCGCAATATTTTAACCGTAAGGATCGCGCAACGAGTTTCTTTAATCATGGCGAGAACTGTCTCACATGACCTAATTCGGCCGAGTGAGACAGTTCTCGCCAAAATGGAAATCATCGGAAAATGCTGCTCATCATTTTCGCGCTCTACAGTGGATTTTTGCACAGCGTAGCGGATAACCTCTGGTAATCAAAAATCTTCAGGTCTGGGATTTGCTGAGTTACTGCCTTTGAAGTCGTTGTAAAGTTGCCTGCACGAAATCGCCCGGATCGCTGTAGGCTAAACGCACGCGAGCGTTGCTGCAGCGCGGTGCCGAGTATTGGCGCTATGATGACTCATGCGTGCGAATGCCAACGTTAGCCCGCAAGAGACGAGGTGCCCTATATGGCCCTCCCCAGCAAAGGCAGGCGCCGTATGTAAGTGCCTATCAGGGTATGCGCTGCACCCGAAGCATGTCTTGAATTCTCCATTCTTACGTCTGCTGGTGTCGACCATGGACTTTCGGAGTTTCAAAATTAACGAACTCCGATTCAGTCTATCTTCAAGTCTATCTCACTAAACTGTGAGATAGTCCTTGGCATCCGGTCAGGCAATGTTTGTGCTTATTAGTGCCACCGGGCTTTGATACTATCTTCTTGAAAATTGAAGCGTAAGGAAGGCATGTGGAAGTAATGTGAATACTGAGAAGTTGCTAAGTTATGCTGGTTCGAGCCTTTTCTGCTTTTGATAGGCCAGAGTTATGTCATCAGTGCAAGTAAGTTTTACTCTACCTTTCGCTGTCAAGTGATTCCACACTCACTTTTTCAAGTATCTATCACATTCAGAAAGTGATCACACCCTGTTTACGATGGTATCATTCAAAGGCTATAGGTGTTGGCAAGCTAGATGACAACGTTTAACACGTTTCGGGCCGGTGCTGCACATGGTGCAGCACGTTGCTTCAAAGGATCTTTTTGACGCTAACAGGAGGTTTTCTTTTAATCCAAGGTTATCAAGTCAAAGGCATAAGCTCCTTCTTTTTAAATGACTCTGTCAAGCTATGCCGCCGATATTTGCTAGGAGATATGAGGACAAATTGAACAGCAGTTGCAACAAAGTGCGGCAACGCGAACGACGCGTGCGACGTCGCAACGTTTTTTTGCTTCGATTTCAAAGAGAAAAACCCTAGTTTCAATAATGATGTGCATCGTGTACAACATAGATACTTTTGAACACTATTTAAATCTGAGTTCTTACCCCTATCTTTCAAGAAAGCGCAAAAGTCCCTCTCAAGCGACAAAATTCAAACACTTCAAATTCGCCCAGAACTTTGGGTATGGAGCTTATCTGATATGCTGATTATAGATGTAGCCCACTGTCTACGAAATAAGGCCCCTTTATTGGCCAAAGGCTGAAGGTACACACTTTTTCGCCGCGCGTGATTTCGCGGTCCGAAACGTGTTAAGAAATTTAAGATTCGTACCAAACCCACATAATACTTTCGCTTCACAAAAATCATTTTATTTTCTTAAGTATCTCTCCCCTATCTGATAATCTCACTATCAAGTGAGAATCAAGGATGCTCAAGTGCAAGAAGGCGCTCGATTTCTTGCAGGACCTAGAAAGTTGCGCGTCGGTCCCATCTCTCAAAGCCGAGGACGCACGTGATTGGTCCCTGCCTTTGTTGGGGAGGGCCATATAGGGCACCTCGCAAGAGATACGCTCGCGGGCGTTCAGCCCGGTCGATTCCGTGCAGTCAACTATATTTTGGCATTGTGCTGGGATAGAAAATTGGCGCAACAATTTTACGCTCGTCCTTGTTTCATTCCATAGTGAGTTTGTTACCCAACAGTAAGCCAGATAAACTTAAAAAACCACAACAAACAACAAATACGTCGACCCCATCTCTTCGGTGGTCTTCCATGTGGCCTTCGAAGTTCTTGAGATCTGCTTCAATGCTTCCTTTTGATTGTCTTCTCTTCTCATATGACCGGCTCATTGTGTTGTTCTTCGATACGTGCCCTGCTGGATCTGGTGAACGCGAAACCTTTGGTCGGAGCTTCGAATTCCACCAGGATCATTCATATTTCGTTGACTTCAGAAGATTTCGAGAGCTTTGTGCGCCATTTGTAGCGTCTTCATAGATGATGTGGTGCCAACCCAGGTTTCGGCTGCATAATACAGAGAGGGGAGAAGTGTAGCGTCAAAAAGGTGAGCACGTTGGCCCGGTCGGCGAGGTAGTCGCGAGCCTCTCCCAGCTGAGAGAGGCTCGCGACTACCTCGCCCAGGCAGTCGTTGACGACACCTCGTTTTGCCCTGCGCGACTCAACCGCGATTGTCTGAGAGAGGTCCCGACGCTGCTCGTGGCGCTCTCGATATCGTCTGCCAAACGGAGGTAGAAAGGTATCGTCCACCTAATTGTAGCCCCTTTTCATCATGGAACTGCATTAACCACTGCAGTGCAGCAATGGTGCATGCCAATGCAATGCTGCAATGCAGTGAACACCTTGGTGACAAAGCGTCACTTTGTCATACTTCTTTGCCATTATGGATGATGAGCGGTTGGGTTGAACAGCTTGGGCTATAAAAATGTGCAAGTGACTTGTTCACTCTTGTAAATAATTAAAATAATTTTGAAAATGTTGAAAAATTCAAATTAGTCCTGTAGAAAGGAATTGTCTTAACTTTCTAAATTTTAGGGGTTGTGGGCTTGCAAAAATTTTAAGAGCACCTTAAAAACTTTTCAGAGAGCGTGGCTAACGCCACGGACCTTCATCTGAAAATTTTATTGTCACCTCCCCCCGGACGGAAATCCTGGGACCGCCACTAGTAGGTGGCTATTCAGTATTCTGCAATATGATTCTTCCAAAAATATTTATTTTTGCGAGCTTGTAAAACACACAAACGCTTCAACACTAACAAATCTTCGGCACTTGTGACTTGCAAAAATCGATTGTATTCAACACTAATTCTACCAAGCCTAAGCGTTCACCTACTAGAAAATACGCATCTCCGGATACAGCCTGAGGTGGTTTCAAAGTTGAAATTATGATAATTTCCTAACCGAAGACCACGAATTGAAAAAAACAACTATCGAAGAGGAGAAAAAGCTGCATCGATCGCATATTCTATGAGGTTTGGCATGATCGAATGTAGAACTTGATAGCTTCAAAAATAATTTCAGAATCGAAAAGCCATCTATGGTTCCCAAAAAAGCATTATATTTATTGTCTTTCTTTACTCTATCGTCATCGAAGCTCTTTCAAAAAACTGAAATGTAAGTTTCGAAAAAAGCTTAAATGACACATTAAAATCATGAGTTGGAGTTCGTTCTGACAGTTATTCAAATGATCATCAAAGATCTTGGAAAAACCAAGCCATATAGAAAGGATTTTTTGAATCGAATATTGTTTAGAGCATTTGCCTATCACCACTCTGAACATTTTCAAGATAGGTCCGGCACGAATTCCTCTCCCCAGATCTAAGGGAATGAAGCTGTTTAAGCGCTGATTTTCATACCACCGAACGTCTTTTCGAATTGGAGATGTAGACGAGTAGGGGCAGTTGGTACTCCCGTCAGTTGGATGTAATCGCAGTTGAATCCTTTATCGCTTGCTCAGACAGTTGTGCTTCATCAGCGTCCTCGAGCGCGACTTTATGATCTATTTGAATAGCTTGTAAAAGCACACTCAATGGCTTGAATGTTCACATTACAAAAATTAGGATATAGTTTATCTAGTATTTTGTTGGTGAAATTCAAGCGCATTTTGAGTAGTTTGCTTGCATTAAAACATTCACAGAACGAGTACATTGGTGAATTAAAAATTCGATTGAAGGAGGGCCATATCTCTTCTCTTCAAATCTCTTTAAACTAGACCAATGAGACGAAAAGGGGCCATGGGAGATTTGAACTAATAATGATTTATTATGTTTTGTTGTCAAAACAGTATCGTTAGGACTGACTGGTGCATCGAGAGATTTCTATATGTTTGTACGAATTGTTACGGCAAATTCAACCTTGCTCTATGACAGGACTGAATTTACTTTGATGAGCCAATTTGCTGAATACGGTTTGATGCTTTCTGGAAGAAAGTTCAAGGGTTGATTTTACATCAGGTAGCTTTCGTGATTACGGGTTAATGGCTCGTGGGTAAGCAGAAATAGCAGTGAAGTTGAACGCTTCCAAGTTCCGTTTTCATAAAACTGCACAAAATTAATTTCAAGAATTTGAACTCTTAACGACGGGGTGTCGCACATGGAGAGAGAAGAGGCTAGTTTGTAAGTCGTTTGTCTGAAACAAGAACACTTCGCTTCAGTAGCGCTTGAACCGTTTTGAATTAGTGTTGTTCGAATGATTACGCTGTGGAATTTAGAAAATTATGATGTCTTTATCTTTATCTTTATCTTTATCTTTACACTCAAGATGTACCATTTAAAATATGAAAACTGTTACCGTGGGGCCACTCGTCCTAGACATTCAAAGAACAACAAAGAAAGCTCGTACTTCGATGAGTTAAGCAAAAGAAAGTACGGGATAATGTACCCACAACAACGAAAAAAGATGCATTCAAGTGCGAGTAAATTATACGACTATGCCAGGTGAATAGCAATGGGGACTGCTATCGCTCAAGGATAATTGGAGCGGTTCAAGCGAGGGTATTGGTTTAGCTAGGTATCCATCAACCTAACTCCCCATCCTTGAACAGACCTGATAAATTTCAAGAAATGTCCTTGATAAAAAAAAAGATTCTCAATCCAAAAAAATCAATATAGAGTAGGACGAAGTGACCCCTCCATAAATAAGCGGTTAGTAACGGTTAGTAAAAGAAACGTAACACAATAGCAAAGCACTCTGCCATAATCTGTCACGAGTAAGAGAAACTGCTATATCCGTGCTATATCACTTATGAACAGTGAGCTATTTTCTGCTGCGATCCTCTAGTATGGGCCACTTATTATGTCTTTCTAGTTCAGTGAAGGTCGGTTGAAAGCACAGACTTTCCATAATAGGAGCCTCCTGCTTCAGGTTCATGCTATCCCAGGCACATGCTACAGCAGTGTTTGCGTTAACACTGTTTTTTACTCACGCGGACCCGGAAATTTCGCTTGACAATTGGTTCTGTGGACAGCCCGGAATTAGCAGATTGCTCTCGTACAATAGTTTGTCTGGTGTTTGTTGGAAGCACGCAGGTTATATACTAGTCCTGCGCGATGGAAGTGCAGTTAGAACTTTGTTTAGTTCGAATCAACCATTGTTGCGCCATGCATGATAACTGCTATGATTTGCAATTAGGTCGCCGCATGTGTGACGACAACTTTTGTGACTGCTTGGAGGTGCTCTTTCCCAATTTTTTCTGACACTCTATCTAGTTGAGCTATTGCCATGTGAATAGACGTTTATACATGTGCTTCAGAACGCCACTCAACCAGACGTGTGCGAGGCCACAAAATGGAAATGTCGTGTTGTGCGGCTCCATGGCCAACAAGCTTATCTTGATGCAGCCTCATATAAAGGTAAATTGGAGATGTGATGTAATGTACTTCGGCTTTAAGTCACAGTTATTTCAGAACCACCTGATTTTGTAAAAATCTTCCCCGCTATTGATACAGTACGGAAAGACTTCCAAGTTCTTTATGAAGAATGTCCAAAAGTAATGTGTGAGTTTGAATGATGTTATAGGGTTAGAAAGCAAATGCGCAGGATAATTTAAAGCCAGCTGTTTTGCGAGTGTCTTGCACAAGCATGGGTTACCTGCGATGACTCGAAATGAGTCGCTGAACCTCTCACCTAGAAATAAGATGAAAATGAGCTTTACTGCCATTGTTTATACCAAGATATGCAAGTGGTTTGATATCGGTTTGAATGTTCATTTTCGTTGCAAGGTGCCAAAAATCAATGAATTCATGGAAGGACCCAGAGATTTGGCTCAAAAACTAGCTTGTGTTCTTTTGCGCGGTCGAAAATGTGTGTGTGCAAAGTTTCAGGTCAATCGGTTCATCAACGAACGAGTCAAAAAACTTGCCTAAGCCGAACACAGACGGGCCTCTTCTTCTTCAGCCTCAGACTGCTTGTTCTTCTCCGTCTTAACACCAAGATTGTTGATCAATTTTTATTACCGTTAACGTTCCGGCGCCTTTTTCTAAGCCGAAAAAGATCACGAACATTTGTGCTAGTGCTATTAATCCAAACACCTTCCGACGGCAAGTTATAACCCAGCGTCGTATGAAGTCGTAATGTTTTGTTTTTATTTTTATTTTCTATCTTTATCTTTATACAAAAGGGTACCATTTAATTTATGAAATGACTGTTGGTATGGGGCCAGACTCCTAGACAAGCAAAAAAGAAAATGTTCGTACTTCGATGACGTATGAGCAAAAGGACCTGCTCATACGGGTTAATATCTCCATCAAAACGAAAAGAAAAATACACCAAATGCAAGTAAATTATACGCCTGCATATGTAAGTTGGGATGGCAGGTAAATAGCAGTGGGGACTACCATCGCTCAAGGATAATTAAAGTGTTCAAGCAAGGGTATTGGTTTACGAGTTTCTTAGATATCTGATCCTAACTCCATAGATCAAACGACGGAGGGTTTTTCACGGGGCCAATTCTTTGGTCACGGCAATGTTTTGTCTTTACGACCCTTTTCTGAAGTTTTGGAGGTGATCAAAGGCCCCGGTCAGACTTCACGCGACTCAATCGTTGTGATCTAATCGCCAAGATTTCAATTCATTTTCATTTCACATTCAAAAATATCGGGCTGGAAAATTATCACAAACGAATGTAAGTTGATCGGCATGGAATGATGTTGTAACAGTTGTCTCGTCGCGACTCAGTCGCGACGATCAAATCGCGTGAAGTCTGCCCGGGGCCTAAAGCATGCAGTTTCCAAAGGTCCCCTGGGAACTTTGCAACATGCTCAGGTTGCAGAGATAAAAATGAAAGAACGAGATCATTCGAAATTCTAATTTTTTAGCAAAAATTCTAGAAATCTAATACTGTGCGATAAAACCCAGAACAGCCATCACCAAGTTTTCTTATATTTTGTTACTAACTGAGTCAAGTTTGTGCTGATCGAGGTCTTCTCTCAGAAGTTATGATTTTTTGAAAAAAAAATGCCGAAAAATCGATTTTTTTTTTGAATTCTTATACATATAGATAGTGCAAGAACCGGTTATGTGAAAACTGTTGTCATTTTGGAGAAATCCTCACATCTTTTTTCTCTTATTATTATCACAAAAAGACTGTGAAAACGCAATTCTAAGGCTGCAAATTTACTCACTTTACTCGCTCGAATCACAATCATTTCATCATAGTTTTCTGAGCTTTATCCGGAGCCTGGCTCCGGTCTATTCTATAAAAGTAGATATATGCCTCTTACATTGTTTTTTTTTCTTAATTTCAGTGACGATAAAATCTTGTTCCTTGATGGCTAATCTTTGCCTTCTAAAATCGAAAAATGATGTGTGTAAGCTTGATCTAGCTAATTGTATATGGCAAGCAGCGATAGCTCAAAGTTATGAAAGCTGCCACGTGAGCGCAAGAAAAGTGTTCTATCTACTCGGTACGCCATTTTCAAGTGACAAATAAATTGCACAGTATTTTGTGATCTTTCACTTTTGTTCCAGTCAATGGTTCATATTACAATTGGAAGAATCTTGAAACTTTACGACCAATTAATAGTGAAAGAGAAACAGAACCCCTTAATTACACTACTAACTTACTCGAATATTTTGAATCTACATATGCCTCAATGCAAAACGTAAAACAAAGGACGATTGTCGTAAGTTTTGAACATTCTTTGCATCATAGAATAACTTGGACTCATCAGATGTTCGTTGTCGTCATTGTGCTGTTCTCAAGAAACTTTTTCAAGCAGCTATTCATGTGAGATCCTTACTTAATCTGACTTGTAAGATTTATCGTTACGTTAAGGTTTAGGTCGCTGTCCAAAGACAGATTTTGGAAACGACGACAATTTTGAGATCATAATGTGAAAGTGGTTAAGTCAAAGAGAAAGAGTCAATTTTATGACCGATAATCATATACGGAAACATTGTGCGAATGAGTAGTAAACTGACTTAGAATGTGATTTGAAATGTTGCATGGAGCTTGAAATTCAACCAACAAGAAATTCTTAGAGTACATGGTAGTTACGAACTTTTAGTTGACTGACAATTCATAACAATTCATTCACCAATCGGTGGTTTAACGTTTCGTCATCTTCTTCTTCTACAGAAGCCGAAGGTCACCGCTCTATATAAAATTTCGCACCGGAAATGATGTGTGACCGGGGAAACTTTTCAAGATTTAAGACTCCCAAAACTTCAAGTCTGTAGATCCTCAGAGTAACAGAGCTGATCAATAGATTGATAACTTTTGTCTGACAAGGGAAGTCTGTGTAATCGAAGTGGCCTTTCTGAATGAGTCCTATATCATTTCAAAGAGCATTGAACGCTGATTCCAAGTCTGCTTTGCTTTTCTGCGGAACAACTCTCTGAAAGAAGTTATGAGCTTTTGAAAGTCCGGAGTTGTTAGGCTTTGAATGGCAAAAAAAATAGCGAAGACTGTGAAAACAGGTCTTTTTGCCTGAAAATGGCTAATCATTTTTTGTATTAGCAGGCAAATAGCTGCAAGGAAGGAACGAAGCTAGTGAAAACCCGCAACCCGCATAATTTTCATTACATGTTTTCGCTAATCTTATGCCGATTGAAGCCGAACAAACTGGATTTACAAACACCCAAAAGTTCTTTCAAAGAGTTGTTCCGCAGAAAAGGAAAGCAGATTTGGAATCAGTGTTCAATGCTCTTCAAAATGTATAGGACTTATTCGTGAGGGCCACTTCGACTAAAAAGGCTTCTCTTGTGAGTATACTTGTACATGTGGGCGCAAAGGCCGCATTCAAACTTTTCGTCACGGTCTTAACAAGGCCCATAGGTAGTGATGAGTTATTTGATGAAGGCAGAAAAATTGCATTGAGAAGAAGTATGTGCGGTATTTGCTGGAGTACTCCAATTAGTATGAAGTACTTAACACGCTTCGGACCGCGAAATCGCGCGCGGCGAAAAAGAGGGTACTTCCAGCCGTTAGCCAACAAAGGGACCTTAATTCGTAGATTGTGTTACATCTGTAATCAGCATGTCAGATAAGATCCATACTCAAAGTTCTGAGTGAATTGGAAGTGTTTGAATTTTGTCGCCTGAGTAGGACTTCTGTGCTTTCTCGAAAGATAGGAACAAGAACTCAGTTTCTAAATGTATCCAAAAGTATCTATGTTATACACGATACACATCATTATTGAAACTACGGTTTTTCTCTTTGTATCCAAAGCTAAGAAATGTTGCGACGTCGCACGCGTCGTTCGCGTTGTCGCACTTCGTTGCAACTGATGTTCGATTTGTCCTCTTATCTTCTGAACAAATATGATGGCACAGCTCTACAGACCCTTTCGAAAAGGAAGAGCTTAAGCCTTTGACTTGATAACCTTGGACAAAAAGAAAACTCCCTGTAAAATTGAAAAGATTCTTCAAAGGCGCGTGCTGCACCATGTGCAACACCGGTCCGAAACGTGTTAACCTTGAAAAAGAGCATTCTATGTGAAACAGCGCTCCTCTATTAAGTGCATTATTTGCAAATCAATCACTAAGCTTCTTCCATGACTAAAACTTTACAACTTCCAAAGGATCAATGGGAAACTTTCCGAAAATGTGGGTGAAATCGGCGGTAGAGACTAGTTGGCAAGATAGCAGCCAATTGTTCAATGCTCCTGGGGTTAAGAGATCAGTTACATAGCCTTCTGATTTGGATTTGGTAGCTTTGAAATTGAAAAGAAAGCTTTTGACATCGTTCTTCACTTCCTAAAAAGTTGCGTTAAGTTTTTTGCTCCATGAACACATATGGTTACTAGCAACTTAGATAACGGCACATGCCTAACACAAGGCCATAGCATAAAAGCATTGTCGCGACTGTGGCTGAAGCTCATTGGCGAGACAGCCAAAGAGAGCGAGCTTGTGTTAGCCGTGTGTCATGGATCATATTCAGAGTCTATGGGATGTCCCAACAAAATGTGCCCACTGTTTAATTTTGAGGCTAAAGTAAAGCTTGCTTCAACTTACAAGAGAAGCGTGTTAAGTCGAAGTGGCCTTTCCAGATGAGACCCATACTGCTTTGAAGAGATGTCAAAATACTGAGCGCAAAACTAAAACAAAATTGCCCAAATTTGCTCAAATGGTCCAGTGTCAAGTATCAGAACCGTTTATGCAATGGATACATTTTGTCTAATATGCTAGTACTTAACACTGCTTTATCTGGGCGCTGGAAAGATTGTAACTATCGATTTTAGCTAAATTCTGCATTCATTTTTCGTTCCAAAAACGGCCATAACCCGGCGTCCATAGGCGCTTGGCAGATTTGGAAGGCAGATTTGGAGTCACCGTGCAATAATCTTCAAAGCAGTATGGGTCTCGTATGAAAAGGCCAGTTCGACTAAACACGCTTCCCTTGTTAGATTTACAGTGTGAAGCAAGTTATCGACCTATCTTCATTACCGTAGGTTTAGGCTACGAACTCGCAGCATATGGCGCCGTTATGAGAGAGACCGTTCAAAAAAATTTTTTTTTGATTGGAAAATGTGTAACAAGGTTTTCATGCATTCTCGATTTACATACTAAATAGATTTTTGCGCCTTCGCAGACTTTTTTGAATGCGTCATTAATATATGACATAAATTACGAGAAAAGCATTACGATGAAATGCGAGTTTCATATTTGAAATCAAGACTGTGATCAGCCTCATGTAAGAGTTTTCAGCTTCTTTAGACTTTTTTAGGGATAAAACATGAATTTGATGAGGCAACACTTTCTTCAAACTTTCTACCGTAATCCTACAGTAACGAAGAGAAGACGGTAATTTGCTTCATACTATAAAACCAAGTTGAATCCTGCCCTACAAAATGCTACCTAAAGCTTCTTGAGAGACTCCATAACAGGAGAGTCAGAGACACCCTGGTCTCAAAAAATGTGACTACCCTAATCACCAGGGTATAAGGCGCAATAGCCTTCACTGCGCGCGGTCTGATATATGATGACGTTTGCGATGCGCGGCGCACGCGCAGCCCAGCAATCTCTTTGACCTAGCAGTAGCCTTTTGCTCCCCGTTCTTTGCTGTTTTCCTCTCAATAGTGATTTGTTTCACAACAAATCTCTACCTTCCCTTTTATTCTTCAAGAATGAGAGCAAAACAGCAACAGCACCTTCAAAATACCAGTAGTATCATCGTATAGGGAAGCACAGTTTCAGTACCAGCATTACTGGAAATGAAGGAAAGCACAAATGTAGCACGGTACATCATTCGAAACAAAAGAAAGAATCATCCAAACATGAACACCAACACCTTCACCCCACCAGTAGAAACGATATTACATACATTCTGAGAAGATTTTAAAAAAGTACCTGAAAGCACGATCTATGCGCAGTGAAGAATAGCCACAGCACACAGAGTACTAACCTTTCTAGATTTAGAAAGCATCATTTAGAAAGCGTTTTCACGCCAGTGTTCGCTGCGGCGGGTGCGCCTTATACAAGGTGCGCCTTATACCTTGGATTAGGGTAATTGTGTTCTCATAGAGGTCGCAAGACCCCGGTCAGGCAGAATCGGGTAGGTCTGCAACGCCTGGTTACCTACCTGATCGCTTGATTATAAATTGTGGGAAGAAGGGCGCCTCTTTGATTAGGTTGCCGAAAACGCTAACAAATCCAACGATTTATTCACTAGTCAAACGACTGAAATGTAATTGTTAGGCAGATTTGACTTGATTTAATCTTGAGATACACGGTGACTCAGAGTGGAGGAGGAAATTCATAGTTAAATCAAATGATCTCAAATTAGGCAAATCTCTTGCTACATAACAATTACCAAATTTTACTCGTTGAGTAATAAATAAATCATTCGACTTATCAGCGTTTTCGGCAACCTCTCGCTGGTCGAGCCATTGTTAACGAGTACCCGAACAGGCGAGAGCCCATCTCGTGATTTATGAAAGTTTGGGAACGTGACCCAAATGGGCAGCAGAGCCCGACCTGTCGAGATCGCGTGATTGGGCACCTGCCATGCCCGACATGGCCAACCTGCCAAATCGAAACATATCTTCAAACAAGCAGGAGCCCGATCACCAGCTTGGTTCGTGTATCGCGGGCGCCAGTAACGCGCCTGTACGGGCCGTGACCTGTACAGGGCACCTCTTCCCATATAGGAGATTGATAAACACCGCCTCGGGCGTTGCAGACTTACCCGATCCTGCCTGACCGGGCTCTTGCGAGCTGTACGGGAACACTTACCCGAACGGGAGATTGATACATATCGTCTGCACGCTATACCCAGAGAGGCTCTTTTCCAAAATCTTTGTTGGATTCCACTAACAAGTCATGCAGTTTTTTGCGTTACCTTTGCAGCTTTTATCTTTTGTTAGCAGCTAATAGTGCTACAGCCTTCGCTGAGCAGTGAGGAAACTTTTTGCATAGGAAACTTGCCATTATCGTTAACAATAGGAAAAAGCCTTCCTTGGTGTCCAGAGCCGGGTGTGCTTCGGCTTGGAATACCTTGCGAGTATCGTCCTGTAAATGTAAAAAAAAATCAAATTAAGCTCAAAAATCTTCTTGCACATCAAACTGAAACCTTGTACAGCACAATGGTGAACTTTCGCACATTTGATCGAAAGCATCTTTTCTTGACTGCGAACGCTTCTGATGGTACCAACAATATGCAGATGAAAGCCGTAGCGCAAATAAGGACTTCCATCGAGATATAAGGGCCTGCAGTTCTGACAAAATGTTTTGAACCTCACCTTTTGTAAAACTGTGGACTTTCTTTATACAGTGCTGGCCAAAATTATAGGTCCACTCTAAAAAAATGCCATAACTCACTCTGTTGTGAATGAAATTTTCCAAAATTTGGTAGAGACGTGTGTTTACCAGCCTACTATCAGTCTTCAAAACGGTTCTCGTTTTCGTCTAATTATTCAAGAAAAAAATAGAAATTAAAAAAGCAGGCTTGAAGGCTGGCCAAAATTATAGGTCCACCTGGAGTTTATACTGATTAAAGCACTTCTTAGCTCCCAAGTTTTTTTTTAGGTAGGCACACATCCAAAAGCGTTAAACAGCTGCATTGGTCAAGCTGTGTCATACCTCCAAAAAGAACTGATTATCTGTTTTTTTTTGCCTTGAAGATGCACTCACATGTATTTCGCTCCACAAACCTGCGTTGAGTAAGAAGTTCTGCAGTTTCTCAGCTGGATCGGAAGGGACGGGGTTCCATCTATCTTCTGGATGCTTTTTGACGTGAGCGTTGAGGAAAAAATCCGAGTTTTTGCTGCTGAAGCAAATCTGACATTGACAGTACTGCAATCCTGAGCTCAAATTTCTGCCTTCAAACTTCTTTTACAATGTTCTCAGAAGCATTGAGTAAAGTAAAGGCATTGTCTCTTTGAAGGGGAGTCCGTATACCATAGTTACAACTTTCTAGAGAAGCTAGCATTCGAGTATAATTACTGAAATCACTCTGCAGAAACTGATTGCGACAAGCACCAAAGCTACTTGTGCTCCGACCAAAATTTTCAGAAGAATCATGTGCTAACATACACTACAAGCTGTATCCAGTATCTAGTAAATAATTACTGTCAAAAATCTAAGTGAGGTAGCACTTGGAAAGCTATTTTGGATAGCGTAACACCATTATTATGTTGCACACACAACTCATATTTTGAAAAAGAAGCAAGGCAGCTTTGTGGACACTTGCGAGTATGTCGAACAGCTTAATTCTTGTGTAAAAAAATGCTTCTACAATATCTTGAGGTTATAATGACAATGCATAAAGTGTTTTAGGGCAGAAACTGAGGCTTACTCTGCCGATTAAGCCGATGTTAGATTTGCTTCAGCAGCAAAAAGTCGGATTTTTTCCTCAATGCTCACGTCAAAAAGCATCCAGAAGATAGATGAAACCCCGTCCCTTTCGATCCAGCTGAGAAACTGCAGAATTTATTAGTCAACGCAGGTTTGTGGAGCGAAATACATGTGAGTGCATCTTCAAGGCAAAAAAGCAGATAATCAGTTCTTTTTGGAGGTATGACACAGCTTGACCAATGCAGCTGTTTAACGTTTTTGGATGTGTGCCTACCTAAAAAAATTCGGGAGCTAAGAAGTGCTTTAATCAGTAAAAACTCCAGGTGGACCTATAATTTTGGCAAGCCTTCAAGCTTGCTTTTTTCAAAATTTCTAATTTTTTCTTGAATTATCAAACGAAATCGAGAACCGTTTTGAAGACTGATAGTAGGCTGGTAAACACACGTTTCTACCAAATTCTGGAAAATTTCATTCACAACAGTGAGTTATGGCATTTTTTAGAGTGGACCTATAATTTTGGCCAGCACTGTATCAATGGTTTCAACTTTTCGAGGATATCATGTGGTGAAGGAGTAGATGTAGTAAATATAGATGGGGAGATGAGTGTTAGAACCCGTTTGTTATTTGGAGAAAAAACGGCAATTGTAACGAATTTATGCTTGGCGATTGGCGTTACGTTGTGAGTGATACCGTAGCTGGACTTTTCCATCAACTCCTACTTCCTATTCTCTCATGATTGGCATACGGGATGGTAGATCAGGACTTTCTTACTAAGCATTTATCAAGCAGTAGTGGATCAAGCATTACACAAAAGCTTATGGCGGCAAACGGCAAACAGGAGGGCTGGATCATCACACGGATATATATTTGAACAGAGGATAAGATAAATGACAAGCAGATTCTTTGAGAGCTCCCTTGATTACATTGAACACAATTTCAGTACTGTTTGTGTCACTTTAGACAGAGATTGGAAGGGCGCGCGTCCACTTTGCAAAACTTCACGTCATACCGAACGGTATACTATGCTGGCCACAATATAAGACCACCCCAAAAATTGCCGTAACCATCGTGTCAAATGATCCAAAACTCGGTACAACGTTATGTATGCCAGCTTGTACGCTAGTCACGAGCCTGAAAGGTCTCGCTCTCGTTTCCTTATTCAAGAGAAAATAACGCATTGCATATAGAATACTCATGTTTGAGTAAATCCATCAAAACCTCACTTGTTAAGCTTAAGAAAGTCTGATAAATTGATTAATCGACCGTTAACTTTGGGTATCTGCATGACAACATCCTCATCACGTCTACATGTGCTTGGAAGTTAGATAAACCAATAAAGGTTGTATTAAGTGGCACAATAAAATGGGCATATTTCAGAATATCAGGGAAGGCCCGGAAGAATTTGTTATCGATTGTCACACAACTACTCATTGTTTCATCCATTTAGAAAGCAAATTACGATTCAACGGGGGTCCGTCATTATAGCAATTAAATTAATCAAAGCCGATAAGAAGGTGACGAACTCAAAATTAAGCAGAACTTCTAAGTCAAGATGATTGCGTGCTTAAGCGAATAGATAGCCTGACGCACACTGTACTGTATACTGTAGTAAGAATCGAATGTGTGTACTCGAATGATTTATTCGAAATATTTGACTGTTCAAATATTCGAGTAGTCGAATATCTGAGAAAGTCCAATTATTCGATCATTCGAATAGTCGAATAAATGAAAAAGGACGTATTCGAATAATTTGTTCATTCGACGATTGGGAAGATGATTTACTCAAATATTCGTTCATTCGAGAAGTTTTAGAAGACACTTTCTCAAATCTTCGAATAATCGAGCCACTTCAAAGACAGTTATTATTATTATTATTATTCGAATATTCGATGTCAAAAGAAAACTTCTGTTCTACATTGAGTGCAAGTATGTCATCGGTCAATCATACAAATGAATGATCATATGACAGAATGGCTGACAGCAAGGTTCCTTTTTCAAGGCAATCGCGAATCATGCCAGAGCATAGTAATGACAAGCCTTATGCATAATTCGTTTGGAGTGATACTATGTATCTTCTGGAAATCGCGGCTGCAGTAGTTGAGATTCGATATCATGCTTAAATACCTCCAAGCTCGAAATTGGGTGAAGAAGCAAAGCCGTCATCAGGGCCACTTTAGCGGACTTGGTCCTCATACAGCTTGCATAAGCATGTGGAGGACCAGCAGTCTTTGAGGCAACACGTATTGGCAACATTCATTCCTTTATCCAAACATCTCCACTTGCCTTGCCAGCCTAATCACCGCCAGCATGTTAAACTTGAAAAATGCGTTAACCAGCGCAAGACCAGAGCAAGGCGGCCGCGAGGATCTGAGCCGCTTGACTTGTGGCGGCGCCTGTATGTCAGTCACCATATGCAAATTGGCTGCTTTTATAGTCAAGAGGCATAAAAAACCTAGTGTTCATATGTTGCAAAGTTTATAGTGGAATAATACTATGAGTAGGGGTGTAGGTTGAACGGTGATTATTTTTAACTTGAGTAAAAGATGTGGAAGATCCCTTACAACAAAAGTAGAAACCTCAAAAATACAGCTAAAACAAGTTTGTGAAAATTCAATCCTACAACGGAAAATGTAAAGCGTAGCGATCGATAATTTTCGGCAAGTATTAGATTAGTTATTATACAGATATCTCCACGACTTTCCTTCTTCTGAATTTAGACGCGCATAAAAATATTATGTCGACAACAGTGCGTCCCTCTGCTGCAAGGGGTCACTGATTCCATTACTGTAGGCTTCTCGTGCTCTCCTAGTGCTAGTCTTAGAACTCACGCAATGCTGACCATCACGATTAAATTACAAACAACTACAACAACAACAACAACAACCATATTCCAAAAGGTCTTCCATGTTGAATCTGCTTTGGGAGGAAGTTGTGTGTAACTTCGGGAGATGAAACCATTGCTAAGTAAGGCTTAGTAGCCCTCTTAACACGTTTCGGACCGCGAAATCGCGCGCGGCGAAAAAGTAGGTACTTTCAGCCGTTAGCCAACAAAGGGACTTCAATTCGTATCTTTGATTCAACTGGTTTAGCTCCGTCAGGGCAGGCCGCTCGCGCCCGCGACGCACCTGCGTCTCTCGCGCGCGAGTGCTATCATTACCTAGCCTTAATTAGGTCACGAAGCCCGCCTTTGCCGAAGCTCAGCCAGTTAAATCAATTGTAGATTGTGTGCTACATCTGTAATCAGCATGTCAGATAAAATCCATATCCAGAGTTCTGAGCGAATTCGAAGTGTTTGAATTTTGTCGTCCGAGAAGGACTCCCGTGCTTTCTTGAAAGATAGGAACAAGAACTCAGTTTCTAATTGTATCCAAAAGTATCTATGTTGTACACGATACACATCACTATTGGAACTACGGTTTTTCTCTTTGTATTCAAAGCTAAGAAAAGTTGCGACGTCGCATGCGTCGTTCGTCCATTTGTCCTCATATCTCTTGCACAGATATCGATGGCACAGCTCTACAGACCCTTTCGAAAAGTAGGAGCTTAGGCCTTCGACTTGATAACCTTGAACAAAAAGAAAACTTCTTGTAAACGTTGAAAAGGTCCTTCAAAGGCGCGTGCTGCACCATATGCAGCACCGGTCCGAAACGTGTTAAACTACAATGAACACCTTGAGCTACATGTTTTAAGTGAAATTCTTCTGTTTTCTAGGTAGAATCCTGACCAAGCGACAATAACCCCGTCATCTTTACCATTGCTAAGCACATAATTTTCAGCTACAAATCTGAACCGATTATAGCGATTAATTTTTTGCAGGAAACTGCAACACAGAAAAACCAGCATGTACGAGCCACTAGATTATTCGAATTATTCGAATAGTCGAATATTCGGACAGGTATGATTATTTGAGTATTCGAATAGTCGAA